GAGAACTTCCCGTATCTGGGCAGTACCCTCTCCCACAACACCAAGATTGATGACGAAGTCGCCAGCAGGATCTCGAAAGCCAGTCAAGCCTTCGGTCGTCTCCGAAACACAGTTTGGAACCGCCACGGTCTCCAACTGAGCAGGAAGCTGAAGATGTACAAGGCCGTCATCCTGCCGACGTTACTGTACGGAGCACAGACATGGACGGTGTACACGAGACAGGCACGCCGACTGAACCACTTCCACCTCAGTTGTCTCCGTCGCATCCTGAGGCTGAACTGGCAGGATCGAATCCCCGACACGGAAGTACTGGAACGAACGGGAATCCTCAGCATCTACGCCATACTGAAACAAATGCAGCTGCGCTGGAGCGGCCACCTGGTGCGCATGGACGACGAGCGACTACCCAAACGACTCTTCTACGGAGACGTCGCGACGGGTTCTCGTCGTCAAGGAGGCCAAATACGCCGTTACAAGGATACTCTGAAGTCCTCCCTGAAGCGCCTGCAAATCAACCCGACCAACTGGGAAGAGCTCGCTCGCGATCGTCCGACATGGAGGAGAACAGTGAAGACGGGCGCTGCTATCTATGAAGCCAACCGAATCGCCGCCGCCAAAGCGAAACGCGAAGCCCGCAAATAACAACTTCGCCCAGTCCGCAACGCCGCCGCACAACCTCCACCTACGTGTCCTCGATGTCAACGGACATTCCGGGCACGAATCGGACTTGTTGGACATCTTCGAACCAACTGCACCTCTCGAACTGCTCCAGCCATCGTCCCCCCGCCCGCCTCTTCCTCCTCTCTTCCGCCAACTAACTCTGACACTCCTTCTGCACCACCAATTCCATCCTCCTCATCCTCGTCGTCCTCCTCCCTCCCCACTGCCCCAGCGGCGGCCGTTCAGACTGCCGTCTCACACATCACCAACACCAACACACCAACCAATATCACCTCTCCCACCTCTCCCGATACCACTGATGAGGATCAGGACTACACCTGCCCTCACTGTGACCGCACCTTCACCTCACACATCGGCCTGGTCGGTCACTTGCGAATCCATCGCACAGAGACTGGCGAACCAGTGCCTGGAGCACCAACCTACACCTACCGCACTCGCCTCCACTGCCCACAATGCCCTCGCACCTTCACGCATCGCATGGGTCTATTCGGCCACATGCGCATCCACGAGAGCGGAATTGACCGCAGCCTTGACACATCCACCCCGCCGAGCCCCACTCCCAATCCACCACCTTGTGCACCCACTAACCACTCCCCAGCCGGCATCGACGCCACCGACCTTACCACCCCTCACTCCTCCCCTTCCTCCTCCTCTTCCTCCATCACTGCCACAACGACGGCCGCTTCGGCGTCTGTCGCCCACGACTTCACCGCAGCCGAAACTGACACAACAACAGGCACAACCCCTGCAACCTCCATCATCAGACGTGAGGGCCAGGACTACATCTGCCCTCACTGCGATCGCACCTCACGCATCGGCCTGGTCGGTCACTTGCGAATCCATCGCACAGAGACTGGCGAACCAGTGCCTGGAGCACCAACCTACACTCAACGCACTCGCCTCCACTGCCCACACTGCCCTCGCACCTTCACGCATCGCATGGGTCTATTCGGCCACATGCGCATTCACGAGAGCGGAATTGACCACAATTCCGATACAGCCACGACATCCAACACATCCACCACGCCCAGACCAATGCTCGCTCCACCGTCACACGCGTCGACCACCACCACCGCCACCACCACCAACACCACTGCTTCCTCTACAGCTGACACCGACACCGCCAACCTCTCATGCCCACATTGTCCACGCACCTTCACCTCACGCATCGGCCTGGTGGGTCACTTGCGAATCCATCGCACAGAGACTGGCGAACCAGTGCCTGGAGCACCAACCTACACCCACCGCACTCGCCTCCACTGCCCACACTGCCCTCGCACCTTCACGCATCGCATGGGTCTATTCGGCCACATGCGCATCCACGACGACCTGCGGTAGACAACTGCCGGTCACACCACACATTCCCTCACTCCCTACCTCCTAACACCATCACCCCACCAGACATCAACCCTCACACACCTCATGCACTCAACTGCCGCCTCCCACGCAAGTGGGAAGTGTGCATCTCGACTCGGTCCCCATGCGGCTTCGGCTGCAAGGGTGACTTGAGTCCAAGACTATCCCGACACTTCAAGTGTCGTGGATAGGAAGGTTGCTGATTGAGGCCCGCTCTCGGTTCACGCAGTTCGTCACGTTGTGTGTGTGTGTTGTGTGTAGTGGCGGACTGGTGGGCTGGGGACGGGCGGCAACAGCACCTTCCACGGCACTCTCACGCAAGTGAGAGACACGCCGTCCAACCCCCGTTGTGTGAAATCCTGGTGTTTGTGTGTGTATGGGGGGCCAGGTCGTGCTGTGGCGCGCGCAGGCATGGTCAGTCGACCATGTCAGCCACCGCGCCCATTCCCCACTCCAGTCTGCTGACCGGCTCGGACAGTGGCTGGGGTGTGGGAATGGGAAGGGAGAGTGAGGTCGACGACTCAGCGCACTTTCTCCTCACTATAAACAATCTGACGCGCTTGAAGCTATCACGGTGCGCTAAAAGCCGTGGCTTGGAAGGTTGCCAACTGACGGGGTACCTTGGACCTCCTCCTTAACGGGAGGCGGTCTGAGAGTCAGGCTGCAATGGCTCCTTTTTAATGTGGCCTTTATGGCATTCCCACCACAGTGTGGGATCCGAGCCAGGCGTTGGCGGCACGCCCAGGTGCGGCTTCGGCCATGCCAGCCTCCAAATCTCTGTTGTGTTGGTTGAAATCCTGGTTATTGTTGTGTGGACCAGGGGGTGTGGTGGAACGCCAAGGTGAGGATCCGTCCGAGCCATCCACCTGCGGCCTCCCCCGTCTCCGGTCTTCTTGACTCTGTCTTGACACCGGGCCCAGGCGGGGGAGGAGGAGAGAGTGTAGGTAGATGCAGCGCAAGTCTACCCGCACTATAAACCCCTGCGCAAGTCACCGTCCCTGCTTCCACAATGCAGTCTGTGGGGCACACGGTGGTCATCGTCGAAATCGACGGACGAACTGTCGGTTGCAAGGAACTCTCGAGCCTGTTTGGTGTTTGGCATGGCAACAACTTCAGTTCCTTCTCGATTAAAGCGATGGTCGCATTCGAGGGCGTGCGCGAACACGAGTGACAAAGGGTCACGTCGGCGGGTGGCTAGTTTATGTTCGTTTGTTCGCGTCCCAAGCCGTCGGACCAATTCACCCCATCAACAGTTCCCCCCCCCTCTCCGGCCCCAGATCCTAGCCTAATTACGTGCCCACCCACTTTCGCACACTAGTTGTTTGCCTGTCCGTGGCCGTCCTGCCGCGCCAACCAATTTAATCTGACTATTGCGCTCTCTCCTCTGTTTATTTCGTCTGACGATGGGTTGGTGTCACCATCTCGAAAATTCACGAGAAAAACTCGACTTCCTACGAGCCTTCTGTCTTCACATACAGCAGGTGGGCTAACTCATAAAACGTCAATCGAAATTCAGAAATGCGTTTTCGTTTCGAAAAGATTAATTAAGTAGGCTTGTAGTACTCGTTATCGTTAAGTATAATCCCAAGGTATTTCAGTTACTTCGGAATGCCGGCTTTCAAAGGAACTCCTTTCCGGGTGCATACAAAAAGTGTGCTCTGTAAAGAATGACTACTTAAGTAGCCTGCATTTTTCTCATTGACTTTCGATGCCCTTAAAATTGAATAATATTTCATGGAAAACATGCGTGAAAATATTCGTTCTTTTGCTCATTCAGTAAAAATTACGCGTTCTTCCAACTGTATACTCAAAGTAAGGGCACAGTTCGGTTTTAAAAAGTTTCTAATTGTGAGATTTTTAATGCCGTGAAATGGCCGTCCGTAAAACGTCACGTCTCTGCATTTACTAATGTGGCTTGTAAAGTTAACGATATGGCCCAAATCCACTGCCAAATTTTACGAACCCCATATGGTCTCCTCTTAATACTGTGTGTCAGTGGTTTTGCAACAGGAGCAGTTTCATCACAGTGCGACGACACCGGCACAGAACACCCAGTCAGTTATGCCAGCGAAACGTTGTCTAAGTCACAACGTAACTACTGTACGCATCGACGTGAACTATTCACTTTAATAACTTTCATCAAACAATCCAGACCTTTCCTTCTCGACAAGCATTTCATTGTTAGGACAGATCACAAAGCTGCAATCAATGAAGGATGCAGAAGCCAATTGGCAAGATAGCAGTAATACTTACAATAAATAGACTATACTTGCCAATACCGTTTTGGGGCACAAAACACCGTCGCCAACGCAATGCCACGACGTCCATAACCTCTTCTCTCAGAAGATTTCCCCGAAAATCCCAGCTCAGTCGCCACCATCACCATTAGCAAACCAACACGGCACCATTGGGCCAAAGCTCAGAGCACAGACCCAGATACGGCCATCGTCTGTGATCATCAGTTACTCGGCAAACATCGTCCAACAGGCGACGAACTACGCGGGTCCTCGGAGAACGCCATCATACTACGAGCACAATGGCCACTCATATTTATTGGAAAGGAATTACTTTTTTAAAGACGCCACAGATAGCAGGCCACGGCTCATGGTGCCAGGCTCTCCAACACTATCAGTACTGGAAGATATTCATCGTGAGCTAGGGCACGTTGGGCAGTCGAAAAGAGAAACAGCGATGAAACAGCGCTTCTTGTGACCCCACTTACGTGAACAGGTAGCCATCTTTTGCAACACGTGTCCTACCTGCGCTTCCTTTAAAGGACCCTATCCGAAACCAAGAGCACCATTGGGGTTTCCGTTCCGGCGGGTTGGCTTCAACATAATTGGGTCACTGCCTTACACAGCCAGCGGTAATAGGTACATACAGGTTACGGCTGATTACTTTACAAAGTGGGTAGAAGATACATCGTTAGGCCGACAGGGTGCAGCCTATATGGCGACCGCACTTCGTCATGAATGAATTTGTCGCTTCGGGGCACCTCATTCACTCCACTCCGACTATGGAGCGGGCTCGAATTTCCTCATACCAGAAAAAGACGAAATCCCGCCGGACAAGTACTTGCGTGAGTTTCAGGAATCGCTGCGACTCACTGACAACTAGCACGCTCACACTTACGTATGGTATATGACCGATAAAAAAGACTACTCCGATCGACATATTCACGGGCTACCCTATCAAGACGCGGCGACCTGGTCCTATTTTACCGAGCAGTTCCCGTCGGTATACCAGCCAAGTTTTGTTACTCTTGGGAAGAACCGTTCATAGTCAATCAACATCAAACTCCCAACCACCTATATAATACGTGAGCTACAAACCCCAGAAGGACCCACCTTGACAGTACATTACGACAAATTAAAACCATACAAGGGCGACCCCCCCACGGCTACAGCAAATAGCTTACCCATATTACCACCACACCTAGTACCCCGACCCACAGACGAAACTGAAGTTGCGTCCCAACCCAACACCATATCCACACGCCCTGAGGACAGGGCTCCATCTGAAGGGAGGGCAGTTGCAGTCACTGAACCGACCCACTACCAGTTTGTTTAAATGAGAGTGAACAAAGAGATAGAAAGCAGAAGACAGAAGCTTACAGACTTGTGGTTTTTTGAGCCTTTTAGTGCAAACACAAAACGGATTTATCCTCTCCCTGATGGCAGCCTCCAACTCCACCTTCCCTGAATTTTTTGCCCTGAATCAGTAGAGCTGTGTGACAATTTGAACTTTTTAATGTTATATTTTAGTTTCTGTCCGTTACAATAAACCTTTACATTCACACCTGTAATTGAATTATTCGTTTGCTGGATGTTTACGAGGGCTAACGAAAATTCTAGCAATATCACATTTCACAGGGACGAAACTTTGAGCACTAGTTCCATACCGGAGGAATCTACCTTTCCGCAGAGCCCAGTGTGCTCGGGTACTACAGTACAGCGGACTAAAATATATTGAGACGCAAGTCTCCGCGCACTATAACACCTGGCCACACACAGACGTCTCCGGCATACAGGAACACACAGAACAATGGCTCCGGGCGAAGCACGTACTCTAATATGCTACGAAGGGGAGACGGGTGTGTTGACTAATCACTGTAAAAAACGTGACTCTCAGACACTGCGTGGGATCGGCATGCTTAGAAAAAGACATTGGTCCATTTACATCAACTTGAGTACCGACGGCATTTCTTACTTCCTCAGATGACTCTGAGCATTATTTTCGTACACTTCTGACCACACATTTTTGAAAGAAATCATACTATTGTTAACGCTGCAACCATTCCTACCTCTTTCTACTACAGTCTATTGTCCGTAGGGAAGAGAGAGCGCCAGATCAATTTCGGTAGGGTTGGTTAACTAATGCTCCACGACAGTTCAGTCCAGAGTAGTTGGATTGCCGTTCTCGATGATTAGAGTTTTTAATTTTGGTTTCACAGCGACAACTAGTATAGAAGGGACACAAGTTGCGAACCAAACGTTTACTAATCTTAAAATAAGCCGAGGCTAATGCAATCCATAACACATGCCTTATTCAATTTGTCAGGTGGCCGAAGGAGGAAAATAAAGAAAACAACGCTGGAGTCGTCTATGTCAAACAGAACGAACATTAAAGGGATTTTTCGAGCAAGACTCAAACTAGCGGGCGTCATATTCAAAGATGAAACTCTCTAACACCTCTGCATTGTGCCACAGAAAACCAACAGAAAGAAAGGCAATCGCATTGAATGAAACAATACACTTGAACGAGTTCTATGGAGTCTAACGCTACTCCAGAGGTTCATACATTTGGTGAATACTGTAAGGAAATTTGAGAACATTCGTCTGTAGTGCAGTTAGAGCACAGAACACGGAGGAGATATCAGCAGTGAACAAGAATGCGAAGCTTGCTTAAAAGCAAGAAGAAGAGATTCCAGCCTTATTTGCGACGCCGAATCAGTACGAGGCAGTTGAACAGCCCAGTAGAGT